CAGGAGATCAGGAAAAACTCCGCCCCATAAACTGCAGAAGGAAATGAAAAGGAAGAAACCTGTAAAATATAAAGAGAGATCCTACTGGATGTAAAATATGATGGATGACAAATTAAAAGACAAACGTTAATAAATCAGTGGATGAAAATGCAGATGCTTCCACTCTGGGGTTGTACAATGATAGTGCCCAGTAAGAATCCATAAGATTTTCATCATATCAAACACAGATTTTGAGATTATTCAGCACTGTATTTTTTTCTGTTCTATATCATGGTGTTTGATAAATGTCCTGAAAAGTCAGCCTGCAGTATCTGAGCAGCTGCAGCACATTACTATATGTCATGATTGCACAGGAGTGTGTGAAATTATTACATCACACTATGTCTTCCAAACCAAAGCACTCTGGCCAGAAAGTGGGTTTTAAAAATCAGATACCTATCATCATTGTCATCATAAAAAGTCATTTTGTGTTTCTGGTTTTTTCACCCACAGCCCCATCAGCATGTCAGCATTTTGTTATTTACTGCTATGGGTCAGGACATACAGAAAAGATTAGTTTCACTTTGATCTAGTGGGTTGACAAAGTTTAGGAATAATAGAAAACCTCATCAAACCTCCAGATTCACTTTGAAATCTCTGAAGAAAAATTACATAGTTGCAGCCTGAGCTTGAAATGTGCTAGACAGTCATTTTTCTCTGAGATGATCAACAAAAACAGCAACAATCCACGCATCTAATTTGCTATCACTGACAGGTCAACAAACACTAAGGGCCTGATTTACTAAGATCCCAAATAAAGAGCGCTAAATTGCGTGGGCACACGGATAGATTGCGCGCGCTGCCTGTTTGGGCCTTGCGAGTGATTTACTTAGATTAACAGCGCAATTGACTACAGGCGCAAAAGTGATCGAGCCGGCCCTATTTAAATGAGGATTTTGCGCGAGTTAAGGGTGTTCACCATGGCGAATGCAAACGAGCAGACCCAACGGAAGCAAATTTGAAGCCACGTAATTGGAGGTGCTGGTACAAGAGGCAAACAAGCACATTTCTGAGTTATAGCAAAGGAATTTAACCGTTATTAGGAGGAACGCAATATGGGAGGCAATCTGTGACAAGGTTAATGCTGTGGGGAAAACCAAAAGAACACCGGATGAAATGAAGAAAAGGTGGCAAGACATTTGTAGAAGAACAAAGGAAAAAAATGCACAGAATAACAAATCGGCAAATAAAACAGGTGGGGGACCGGCGGAGGAGGACCCTCTGTCTCCCATTGAACAGCAGGTGCAGCTGACGTTCTGTGATGAGCAGATTACTGGGATAGAGGGAATATTTTTAATTCATTCAGGTACACCACATAAGACATGAACGTGCGTCATGAACGTTCTTTAGCTGTGCAATGGAAAAGCGTAATTGCCAAAAGGGTTTTTTTTTTGTTTGTGCGTTCCAGCAGGGGCGCAGAAGTGTGTGCGTTTTAATTTGTTTTAAGTTTCAGGAAAAAATGATAGGAACTAGGCCGAACTAAATGTTTCCTATGTCTAAAAGAAAGTGGGCTTTAGTACATAAAAATGTGAGTTTTTGGTTTTGTCAAAATAGCACAAACAAGAAACACTTGACATTATGATGCAACATTTATTATTTAAGGATTTTCTGAACTCTGAACGAATGACTTTTTTGTTTTTTTCTTTTTCAAAGGACAATCATGGCATCGCCGGATAACCGATATGTCTCGATTATTTTTTCTTCTGCCATTCCAAAAAGAGTGACACGAACAGAAAAGATGCGTTCTCTCCGTTGCCTGTCGTGCCTACGCCGCCTCCTTGCAACAATGACCGCAGCCATCTGTGCGCACGGCTGTGCCAGGTAGCCTAAGACTTGACTTTCAAACGTGCTAAATATAGACGCAAAAATAATCAGCGCAATTAGTTTGAGGTTTGGTAAATCACATTGCGTGCGCAAAATGATTCTATTTGCATCTACTCCTCCCAATATTTTGCGCGTTCTGGCAGGCACGCCTATATTGCATATTCATGAAGGCAGAAGCGCAAAATGGATAGCGCATGTTATTTTGCCCGACTGACAGACACAATCCTCGGTGCGCCCGGTTGGTAGATCAGCATCAATATGTGTTTGCGCGTTCTGTCGCGTTTGCGCACGTTTTTACACACGCAAAGCTTTAGTAAATCAGGCCCTAAGTGTCCAATATCACCAGAACTTGTTTCTACCAGCAGATGGAGCGATGACTTTGCATCATTCTTTAATGACAAGATTCAAGGCATCAGATACACTTTCAACTCATGCCAAACAAAAAAGCATCATCACCTCGATGGGCATGACACAATTTAATCCTGTCAATGACAAAACACTTGAGGAAATCTCAACTCATCCACCTGTTGCTTTAATATTTTATTCACTAGCTTCTTTAAAACAGTTTAAGAGCAGCTTGATGAAAGAGTCATCGCTAACAACTCTCTCCAACCTGGCATTTTTCCAAAGGCTTTTATATCTGCTGTCATTAAGCCTCTCCTGAAGAAGAACAGTCTTGATGCCAATGAACTGAATTACTATCGGTCTGCTTCGATAACTTTCAATCAGGATTTCGGCTCCATTATAGCTCCGAGACTGCACTCATAAAGGTGCTAAATGGCATTTGCCTGAATAATGACTCAGGCAGAGTCTCTCTTTTAGTATTCTTGAATCTTATAGTGCCGCTTTTGACACACTGGACTGTTTTATTGCAAAGAGTGGAAAACTTTGAGGGACTCTGTCCTTAAAGTGGTTCATGTCATGTCTCCATGATAGAAAGTATTTTGCCTCCATTGGTCCAAGCAGATGAACATGACCTGGGGGTTCCACAAGGATCCATATTGGGACCCCTGTTGTTTAATCTCTATGTGCTTCCTTTAGGCTTAATTGTACAAACTAATAAAGTAGCTCACCATAACTATGCAGATGACATGCAAACCTACATTTCACTGCTCATAGGATGACTATGGTCCTGTTTGATCTTTGTGTAACAGCATTGAAGAAGTTGATTGATGAAGCCAAATTTTCTCCAACTAGAGATAAGACCAAGACAGTTGTCATTGGAGTACTCATATAGCTAAGAGTCAAGCCAGAAATCTTGGTTATCTTTAAATTTCAATAGTCACACTTCATCTGTGTACTACCATCTAAATAATATTGCAAAAGTCAGAGGAGTAATGTCCAAGCAAAACCTCGAAAAATTTACCCACGCCTTTATTACCAGTAGATAGGATTATTGGATTAAGTTTAAATTGCATTAGTTAACTTTCAAGATTTGGATCCCCTGTGTTGCTTGCCTGTACTTTTGTACTTTTTAAATGTTAATTTTTACCTTTGCTGTATTTTATTACCCTACAAAGCACACTGAATTGCCCTAGTGTATGAAATGTGCTATACAAATAAAGTTGCCTCACTTTGCCGATTAAAAGCAGCCTAAAGGAAGCATATAAAGCCTTTCTTTCTCTGATTAGCTAGAGAGGACCCACAGCCTTCCCCCTGCAAACACACACAGACACGCAGACACACACACACAGTCCAATTCAGGTTGAACACTCCATTCATCATGGGTCCTTCTGTGAGGAAAATCTGCAGCCATTAACCTCTTTTACTCATCAGGACCGAATAGGCCTCTGAGGGACAGCAACAGTTCGGTCTCCTCAGAAGGAGAGCAGAAGCTAAAGCCGAAAACCAAACACACTGCTTTATATACAGTCTGAGACCCACTGTGATTTATGCTCCTTCTGGTTCATATTCAAATCACACACCCTCACATCATCTGACTAAAAGTGTTTTCTTTTAGCTCAATTTGGTTTTATAGCTTCTGTGCAAACCACAGCACACTTAACTTGTGAACAAAGTGGCATACAGAGACAGCCTGTACGTTAGCTGTAGCAGACAAATAAATACATTTGCAGCTTGTGTATATTTCAGATGAGATGTCAAACATATTATCTAAGCAAATTACAACACTGTAACATCACAAGTACTTTTTCTTATTTATATCTAGTTGGTAAAACTTCTATCTTTTTGTTTGAGTATAATTTTGAATGCAAGACTTCAGTAAATGATCGATTGTTTCACCGCTGCAAATAAGATTCAACAGGTATTGCATGTGAATGAAATGGCTGAATGAATAATAAACAATCCAAGTCCCTCATCAGGTCTAGGAACTGAACCACAGGGAATCACCTCAACTGCTGTTTCCAGTGCAGTCAGACCGAAGAATCCCACACACACTCCACCTGTGATGATATTCATAAATGTCCTGGTTGACAGACTTGGTGGTAAGGGATAAGCATCTAGTAATAAAGACAAGCAGAGTGCAAATCAGGGATTATCTGTCTGCTGAGACTGATGCTCTATTCAACCTGAAACCTGGGACAAAATCAGTTTTATTGCTTCAAATCGGACCAACTTTAACATTACTGCCAGGCCCATTTATTACCCCGAATCAAGAAAGACACATTCAGTGTTGCAACTACTAATATTCTGAGTAACATACTGAAATAAAGCTACAGTTAGAGTTACAGAGTGGCAGAATCTATAGTACATTTGAGATTGTACAGAATGTTTAACCTTAATATAAATTATAAATAAACTATACAGTGTTTGGGTCCTATCAAAACTGCAAGGTGCTTGTAGATATGTACTGTAACTGTCAGTTGTCAGAATGTCAGAGTGTTTACAACATGGGCAAAGACAAGGCTGTTCTCTGCAAAGTAAAACAATGGGAAGCAGAAGAAAAACCACTTGTCCTCTTTCCTTCAGTCAGCATTGTGGAGGGAACCTCTTGAGAATCTACAATACTGTTCTGTACTTAAAATAAAATTAGAACACTGGCTGATTTTAGGACACACCATTGGGATTTTCTATTATTTTTTATTTTTCAGCAGCAGCTGCTGAACAGAGTCTGGAACCATATTCCCTGAAGAATCCCAGAAGTTAATATTGTTTGATAACTGCTCAGCAAAGACAAGAACATTAGTTTTTTTTATTGACATGTGGCGACAGGAGCTGCAAATAACACAACATATAGGCTTGTAAAACATTTTCAGAAAGTAGACTTCTGTCTAGTTCCATCAGCTTTCTCACACATACACATACATTTTTACTTCCCCACTTGTGAGGACCCTCACTGACATAATTCGCATCTGAGCTTCTAACCTGTGTCTTAACTATCACAACTATACGGCATACCCCTGGCTTATCCATACCTCAATCCAAAAATCAAACATTTAACAACAAAAGTCCTTCAAAGACCTGAAGACGGACCAGATTCTTCTCACTTTCCTAAAGTGTCCTCTCAAGGTCTTGGTCCTCACAAAGATAGAAGTTAACAGAACCTCTTAGATAATCCACTGCTGCCACCAAGTGTTTCATACTGTGCAGCATTACAGAAACTGCTGCAGTACTTTTTCCCTTGTCCCCTATACCATTAAACATTTACAGCCTTGTATGGTGTGGAGTACTGTTTTCACAATGAATGGGACTCATTAAAACCTCCTGCAGCCCGCCATCCCGCACCTCCACACAGGTCAACCAATTACAGGGAAAAGTCATCCAGTAGTTTTAGCAGGATACAGGAGAACGCTAAATATTGATATTACACAATTTACAGTGTTACAGTGCCACACTGCAGGTTTGAGCAGTAAGGTTATTACATAGCTTAATAAATAATTGCGTCAGTAAAAGTGTAAGTGCAGTCACTACTGTACTTCCTCCTCAAAATGATGGAAAAAGAAAAAAAATATATGTATACCGTATGCCCTTAAGTGTATAGCAATGATTGAGTAGTTTTATGACCAGAACATTAAAAAAAAGTATGTCGAAATAAATGAAATCAAAATACTTCTCTCATTCGTCAGTGTTCAAGTAAGAAAAAAAGCAGCAGATGTCTGTTATTCACTGTCACATCATGCCCAGCCATTCCTGCATCATATACCTATATACAACCTTTTCTTTGTTCTTCTCTGCAGCTGTTGTCAATGGTTCAAAAGCAGACAGTGTCTTCATTATTGCTCCTTCCATTACTGATCAGTGGTCCTCTATAAAGTGAGCTTCATGTGCATGCAAGAGCACAATGGCCACGTTACGTCAGGGAGAGCAAGTTGATATCGTAGCATCCATCCACCTGTGGAGAGAAACGATAAGTAATTCATTTTTTTTTCTCCTCCATTTCATTTGAAAGGTCCTGAACACTCACACAAGGACTTTCAGCTATTCTGGCTGATTACACATGGGCATGTAACAACCATGCTAAATCCATATCTTTCAATTGTGTAAACAAGTCAGGCACCGATAGTGAAACGCAATGATTACATCCACGCAGCTATGAAGGCTCTTGTAAACTGACTGAATAAAATGATGCTTCTTAAGGAGGATGTTGTTGGTTTGTTTACATAACTACTTTTGAAAAAAAAGAAAAATAAAGGCACTGATGGAGGTTCAAGTATAAGAAGCTGAGAGCACTCAACAACAATGATTGAATTGTAAATTCAATTCAAATGGATGGACATGTAATGGACATGACTCAATACTCAATGAGTAACTTCTTACTTTGATTGACACAATAAAGACCAAGCAAACTGCTCATAGCCACCGCTAAGGTAGCTTTCTGTGTTACCTGTGAATAATGCTTAAACACAATGATGATTTGTGTGTTTCAGACTCACATCAAATCGTCCAATGGAGGCTGTAGTCTGGTTGGTCTGCATCACCTCAGTCAGAGCCCACATTTGCTGGATACTGGATGATACAGTCTGGGGGTCTGGGAGACCCTGGGAGACACACAGGGAAACAGATGTCAGTCAGAAGAAGCCACAGTAATGTAAAGTGTCAAAATTGCTTTGTTTAATTTCGTTTAACTGTTTTTTTATTCATTCTGTAATAACCTTCAAAAAGTTTTCGTGGGCTAAAAACAACGTTTACACTGTTGAGACTGTTTTTTTTTCCACCTGAGAAGTAGGGTAATTAAATTCAATAATATCATTGGTAACAATCATCAATAATCATTATTTCATTAGAGAGGTTTATCAAAAAATTTAGATCACCAGATTTCACTGGATATACTGTAGATTCTGCACACACACACACATTTCTGGTGAGGAACTAATCATTCATTTATACTGAGAATAAAAGCTTAAAACAAAGTGTAGGACATGACCTCAGTGTCTTTAATGGTCGCCATGGGCCTGTCTCTCACACACACACACACACGCACACGTGCACACACACACACACACACACACACACACACACACACACACACACACACACACACACACACATACCACCACCACCAACACACACACACACACCACCAACACACAAACACACACACACACCACAACGAGCACAGCCACACACACACACACACACACACACACACAACACACACACTACCACACACACATACACACACATACACACACACACACAAACAAAATGTGTACCTCCAGGTCAGGGTGTTGGTCAACCAGCGTCAGGTCAGACAGCCAATCAGAAACTTCCTTCTCTGGGTCCTGGAGGGATGAACAGCAATGTAAACAGTACAGTTGAGTCTAACCTTGCAATCAGTGTAGAATAATTTAATTACCTTGATTTTAAATTCTTGTTTGTTAAACCCAGTGTGTGTGGGATTTAGTCTTTCCTTTGGCCCCATCTGGTGGTGCTGTCAAGAATAGCAATATAGTAGACAGCTACATATGTCACTAGATCCCAGTGATCATCCCTCCCTCAGGTTCAAAACTCAGACCTGCGTTTGAAAGATGCTATAATCACATTGAAAATTGAAAGTACAAACTTTAAGCTTCACATCGCTCAGTTACAAATGAAACACAAACAACTTGTTCATGTGTCATCCAGCAAAATTAGCAAATAAAAAAAATGTCAGTGCCTGTCGAGAGTCACATGATCACACCAGTAAGCATGGAGGATAACTCAAGCACTCCTGCCTGGAAAGGAACCGCCCTCCTCAGGTGCAACCACTTCAGAGAGAGATTACATATACTTCCTCCTTCCTTTGTTCTGTCTTTATTTGACCTCAGCCATAGTACGTGCAAGTGGATCACACACATACAAATGGAAAGAAATCCAAAAAGAAATTAAAAGCAATTAAAAGCACTGCATTATTGAAGCTTGGAATCCTGCCTCATTTATGGGTCTCCCTCAGACACACTCAGCCTACCCCCTTTGCCATTAGATTTGAATCTAACAGAGCTTGTGAGTCACTTTTTCCTCTTTTAATATATTAAGACCACACTTTTAAAGCAGCTATAATCAACATGTTTATATCAACAATAGATCACATGACGATCCGTGTGTGAAAAGTGTCGCTCGTAGTGACAGAGAGAATTACCTCCTGACTCAGCAGTTCCCCTCAGTTCATTTTTGGGTAAGGATCATTTTGTGAAGGCAACACATAGCTACAAACATTCAGACTTATTTGACTGATAATGTCATTTGTGTGCAATGTTTACACAGGTGACAGGAAAATGTCTCGACTTTACTGGCGTTTTGGGTGTGTGTAACAGCCAACAGAAAAACTATAGTCTCCTTAATTGGTGAGAAGGATGCAGACACTAAATTGGCAAAAAATAAAATAAAAGCCAGAAGCATAATTACACTACAAATCAAGCAAGTCTGTGTAATATTATCCTAATGCTCTGTACATAAAAGCTCAGGGAGCAGTTACCTCCCTGAATAACTACCTCCCCTCTCAGTGGCATTTAGACCTCATTAAGTACTTTAATTCTATCTTTGCTGTCTCATTGAGTTTGTGAATAATGTTTGTTTTCTTTTATTGTCAAAAGATCTGAACACATTCTTGTCTAAAGGAAACAAAAAAACAAAACTAACCGGCTCCATGTGAGGGTATATTTTGATGTCTTCGAGGCTGAAGGTTAGCCAGGCAGAGGACGGCTGTCTCAGGATCAGTCGTACAGACACCACATGATCTGGCTCCACCTGCATCTACACAAACAACAATAAAGAATAACATTAACGATATTAAACAAAACATAGTTTTGCAGTATTTGTTGGACAGGGAAATTACAGTATAGAACAAAACTGAGTACACCCCTGTTCAACACAACTAAAACATTAAGCAATTACAACATTCTGTCCATTTAACACAGTTTTATTTGTTTTTAGCCAAAGAATAATGAAGCCAGTTAATCTGAAAAACAGAAAGATGTGACAAAATTAACTATAACATTGAAAGGTCCATTTTTAAAAAGTCAGTTCACCCTTCATTAGTGAGATTCTTTTATATTTTTAATATTTAATATGTCCATCCTCCTGGGTAGGGATGATACCTGTCTCGCACAGATCTGTGGAGAGATGTTCTGATTCTTTTCATCTGCTCTTTGCTGGAGGGCTTTTGTTGCTCAACCTTTTGCTTTAAAATACACCAAAGGTTTTATACAGGATTGAAGTCAGGAGACATACTTGGCCAAGTCATAGTTTGTTCTTTGGCAAAGCTTAATTTGCAGTTTTGTGAGCAGTGGTTTCTCTTCTTGGACTCTGTCTGAAGAGTGTGTCCTTCATGCTGTCTGATCATTCACTGACACACCAGTTCTCACAGATAATCCTTATCCCAACTCAGAAGCACTTACCTGTCTGTTTTTCATAAATAGCAACTGCTCCTTCTGTTATTGATAGTATGGCTCTTCCTGTTCCTCCTAACCACTGCTGCAGCTGTGTTTCAGCTCATGTTCAGTGTGCTGCTGATGCTGTTGTACCCTGTCACATCTCACAATCTGGTTTCTTGCTCAGGTCAGTTCTTCACCATGTTGCATTGGACACAACCCAGGTCAGAACTGAGGAAACTGTGGTGTTTTGTTTATAAACTTGTCAATTTGGAAATCAGACCTGTTCCGATCACTTTTGTTGCACTGATGTTGTACTTTGGGGCCTGCGTTTTCATAAAAACTGAAATCCTGAAAAATTCAGAACTGAATGAAACAGACTTTAAAGAGTTGAAACAGCAAAGCAGTTGCTGCCTTCTCCTACGCTTCTGTTGTTTCCAATGTAAACATGACGACAGCTGTGCAGCAAAGGTCAACGGCAGCAGCACGGAGAGAGAGGGCAGTTGCGACCTCTGTGAATGTACACGGATATTTTTCTACTGCTGCTAACTGTTTTCATTTAGTTTCTGTGACTGTGGCAACCGTAGAAACAACAGAGGAAAACGATACAGGAGCTGATTTACTGGTGTGTAAGTTCCCTGAATTAGTTGGCGGAGATCAAACAGGTCAAGAGAAACAGCACTGGACCGGCAGCTTCAAAGTTTGTTTATGATATTAGTTACTGAAATGTGCAATATTAATATTAATGTGTACTGAGATTAGGTGGGTAGCAGCAGCCTGTTGTGTAAGGTGCAGGTCATTAGTGGGAGTCTCTGCCGCCCAATCAAAGTATGATGAAATTCAACATTACTGTCCGGCAGACACAGCAGTTACAAAAATTTCCAAGCAAAGTTTGTGATTTAACAGCCACTGTGACAAGTGGATAGGTGAGGGGAGATAGTTTCCCAGAGGTACATTCTTCAGAGAGACAACTATTGTGCTTTGTGTGATAATGGTTACTGTGGTAAAAGTATGCATTCAACGTCCCTTCAGGCTAAATATGACAAACAATCACCCATAAAAAGTGAATAAACATCATTTACACTACCACAATCACTCTTTAAACTGTGTCAGGCTCGGAGCACCATCTGAGGTAAACAAAATTTGAATCACCATTCACCATCTGGCTCTATTTGCATAGAGAACAAACAAGAAATAAATAGAAGAAATGGAAAATATTTCAGTTTGTATTGTCTCCATATATCAACATTACAATGCTTATTGTGCCTTTCCTGAATAGTTGGCTGGCTCGCCTCCAACGCCAGCTGAGAGACAAAATAAACTGCACTTAGAACTGGCAGGCTGTGTTAGCTTTGTGCCCGATGGGATATGTTGTTCAGCTGCAGCCACGTAGAATAGTGGGCTGTCACTTGATGTTCACTAGGATATAAGAAAGGTTTATCTAAGTAGCATTATTAAAGGGCCCCTAGCATTGTTTCTGCATCGTAAGGTTTTTGGCTGCGGGGAGGACACCAAAACAACAACAATTTCTCATCATCTTCACATTTTGCTGCTATTAGGATGTTTACAAGTGGTGCTCATAATGTGTAGAGGAGTAAACAAGGGTAGTGCCAAGGTATATCAGTTTAGTAGTAAATCGCAGTTTTCTCTACTATTCAAACTATCAATCTCACAGTCAGGAGCCCACTACTCTAACATCACCTGCTTCCCTTGTTAATTAACAACAAGACTCCTCAGCACTGGCAAGCCTACAGTGATGTTGCCATAGGAGGCTCCATACTAATAGTGTATCTATCAGCACAACAAGCACGTATATGCTCCAGCCCCACCTGTGCCCTGTGAATGGAGTAGTAGTCTTGGGAGCCCCCCTCAGTGTGGGGGTTGTCCATCAGGGGCAGGTCTCTCAGAGCAGTGCACCACTTAGCAGGGGCCTCCTGCCCAGGGCTCCTCCTCAACAAACGCACAGTCACATAGGCCGTGTAGTAGTTCTTAAAGGTGATTTCCTCAATCTGAAAGACAGACAGTGGCAGTGGATTACAAATAATATACAAGCACCATTGTATTATCTGATGAGATGATCTGATCTACATCAGCAGGCAGGTAAATTGCTTTTTAGCCTTGGACCCAACTTTAAAAAAATAAATAAATAAAAAGAGGTTCCCTGGTGACCTGCTGGATGAAATGGAACTTAAAAATATCATCTTGCACAATAAATCTGGCTCACTAAACCATAGTGGTGCCCAGAGGAAACATGCCTCCAGTCCACACTGCGTCTTAACCTATTGTTTAAGAAACACTGAGTCTGCCAAATCACAGTATTAACATTAGAAGCTAAAGACAGTACCATCAAAAAGCCTGGTAGAGATAATGCCTTTATGCATAAACTTGCTCCAGGCAGATGCCTTTGAAGATTGAGGCTTTGAGCTAATGAGGAGTCACTCTGCATTAAAAATGATTTTTAATTAGGATTAAATGCTAAAAAGTAGGTCAATGCCTAAAATGTTTGAAGTGTCTCTTGAGACCGGAATACAGTGTTTTATTTAAAGAAAGTGATTTGTATATATGTGTGCATTTTTTTCTGCTTTATTAGACAATAGCAATAGAAGACACCAGAAACACAGATGTAAACAAAGAAAAAGTTCAAGGAAAATGGTACTTTGTGTATTCTCCTACAATGGTACATTTTCTTTTCGTAATACAGTAGTTATAAGTTCTAGGGTCAATGTGTGGTCAGCACACAAACCAGAGCTTTAAGAGAATAGGAAACATGTTAGCCTGCAGTTCTATGAGAATGTGATAATACAGATGTTTGTTCAAATTAAAGGTTTTAGAAACTTCAGACAGAGGTGAAAACGTAGACGATAATAAAGCATGATAGCAATTCTTTTCAGTGTGGATACCAGATACTGTGCATTACCAGTAGTCAACAGCTTTCTGTGGTAAGCGGTAACTTACATTGGCAGGCTTTCCGAAGGGGAGGGTGACGTCAACAACACAAATACCAGAGTGAGATGTGTCCACTTTGGTGTCTCCAATCTGCAGGTAGACTGGAGGTTTGACTGTGCAGGTCACAGCCTTGATGTCATCAGTGCTTTCACTCATCTTCTGGAAACAAATAAAGAATTTCACACTTAATTTAAAGAACACACATTTAGACCATGGTTGGTTCTCACCACATGGCCAAGATTATGCGGACCTTATGGCTTACTACTTTGTGTATTTTTGGTCAGGGCCTGTTTTTCATGGTCTGGGCAAAGCCCCCGTAGTTTCAGATTAAGTAAATCTTTAAGGTTTTTTTTTTTCACAATCATCTGTTAAAAGGAAAATTTATCTGAGCTCACCTTAGATCTCAGTTTAACACCTGGATGTACCTACAGGACTTATGACATTGTGGTTCAATATGAAACTCATACAGTGTGATGTGGAAACCTGATTCTTGTATACAGCTGTTCAACTTTTGAATGATTATTTACATGCTCACAGATACTGGACTCTTCAAGAAGTAAAAATCATTTTAGTGACAGTAGTTATTGTAATGTTATTGTACTATTTGTGGAAAAACATTAATGGCTTCATTATGTATTCAGTTATGTTCTACAGTTCATATAACAGTAGATAAGAGATGAACTGTGAAATGGAGAATGAAATGATTAAGTAAATGGAAATAAAACGCAATTACGTTCAAACATTAGACATTTACTAACATTATATTCTCATTGTCGTCTACTTATTTCTCTCAGTAGACTAAAAGGACTAAAAAACGGAATAAATCTAACGTTATTCTGAACGAACATCATCATGCTCTCTTTTCTGCTAGCACCATGGACAGCGACATATCAGGCGTGTAAAACAGCCAGTAGGGCACACCAAGATTCAACAGTGTAGCAGCAACACTGACGATTTTTAATGTTTAATATTCATCTTGTGATGCTGCAAATCAACTGTGCAAGAAGATACCGAAATTAGCGACGTTAGCATGGAAGCTAACAGTTCAGCTAGCATAACAGCTAACAGACGAGTGAGGCATTATTGGTGAAATAAGACTCCAATAAATCGATGACTTTGTACAAGTGACTTTGTATTGGTTCCATACTTGCCTTTCTTTGTCAGAGAGGAAGCACAGTTAGTGAAAGTCCAGGACAGAGAGCACAGTGAGACTTAAACGCTTGAGGTCGCAGATGTTGACATGCTAAAGATACTCTCTGTGTTCTCTCCTGGCTGTAACCACGGCAACAACAAGAGTCTTAAAGGGCCAGCAGCACTCTCAGCTGGCTGCGTTATCGCTTCTTCTTCCACCGCCGCCACCTAATGCTTCGGGTGTCGAACAGAGATTAAAACCTTCCCATTGACCCTGTTTGTCTCATGAAATATAACAAAACTCTATCGCCTAATTTCCTGGACAGTTAGATGATTACATGATTACATTCAAAACAAATTCCTCAACCTAATGCTCACATAAAACAGTGATGCGTTTTTATTATCTTCAGTGTTTTTTTTTCTTTAATCTGATTGACCATGTTTTAAAACATGAGTTCTTCTATACTTGACCCAGCAACTGTATGTTTCTAAATGTGAGGATTGACTTTGTTATTTAAACTGTACCTTTAAACCTTCCCATCAATACATTGTTCCACTCCTCCACTGCTTTATACTCCAAACTACTCCCTTGGCCTCTGATTTGTTTAATGGGACTTGTAAATCTATAATGTCTTTCTGTAGAGCTTGTTTTGCTGACCTGTCCGCCTCCTCTGCTGGCCTCCAGAACCCACACATACAGAACTGACATACTTTGTTAAGTAAGTCTCGAATGTACTTGTAAGACTCTGAATAGAATATCCTGATGGCAGCCACTGAAGGATTTCACACTCATGAGAGGTGAAACAGAATCACAGCTGATAAATGCATTTCCTGGTTTAATCTCCTCCGGCCAATGCTTAGCCAAGAGAACTGGTAGCATCTCCACTGAGTACAGTCCTGCATAATTGGATATACTTTATTCAACATCCTTTTTTCTGGAAATGAAAACAAGCGACTCCAGTTATCTAATGTTGTGGGTCATTAGACGCTGTGTTATCTCCTGACACAGGCCTGATACATTTATATTAATGTGTAACTAGTTAATGAATTAATCATCTGGGCTTCATCTTTCTGACCCTTTAATGGATCTCTCTCCCGTTTGTTATAGCACATTTTGTGTAGTAATATCTAGTTGATAATTAGCCTAGATACATGTAGCCTAACCTAGAAAACCTCAGTTGTAATTTTTTTTAACAACATCAAATATGATCATGGAATACAAATATATTCTGTCATTTATAAACTGTTGTCAGTGAGACAAATCTCACATTATTCCATTGTATGCATGAATTCTTTTTCATTTTTTAGATGCATTCACTGTATACAGAGTCATAATGGGATCAGTCCAGATTGATACTGCATATAGAGGTAATAATGAATCAATAAAGTAACATGTTAGCACAATGCTATGGACATTGACCATATATATAATAAGAAATACTATTACTGGTTTTCTTTTGTTTCATACAAGTCAGTAATAGCTTGAAGAAAACCACAGTGACAGCATCAATCACCCAAAAAATCTGTTGTGCCGTTGCACCAAAACACAGATGACAGGTTTGATATAGTTCAACACAGATTGCACTGATATTATATGACTGTCTGCCTTCTGTTTATGTAATAAAAAAGTATTTTATTTCTCTGTCATGGAGAAAAATCTATGACTTATAATGGATATCTCAACCATTTGGTAAAATCCCATTTTTTAGATAATAATAATAAAAAAGTTGTCAGTTGAAGAAATAAGTTTTTTTCTTTTCACAAAATAGCTAAAAAATGCAAACAAGTATTAACAAAGGTTAATACTTTCCTGTTATACCTGTGCTGCTGCAGGCCTCTACAGATATTCATGCATTATTACATGACGTAGACAGCAGAGGGCAGGCTTACTCCATGTAATGGACCTCCTCTACAGTCTGTGAGACGCTGATGTGTGTTAAAATTTAGAGGCCTCTCCTCCTGTAAGCTCATCATCTCATTCACATCTCTACACCCCTCTGAGTATACGTCTCCAAAAAAAATGATAGATCCTCATCCCCACCAGGCACAATCTCCCATCAGAATGAGATTCAGGTGTGTGCAGCTCCAGTATCAGGGTGAGACGGCAACACCTATGGCTTTATCAGTCTGCGGCAGGAATCAGCTGTTATTTCTCTGCGGCCCTGTGATGACAATCCTGCAAAACTGCAACAAGCTTTCCAGAATGTTTCATATCGATTCTGAACAACGAGCATTTACCGGATGTTCCACATGCACTGTGGTGTTTTGTATGTGAACTGAGTGGGAACTTAAGTATCTCACATCCGTCAAAGCAGTATGGTAAAACTTGCCAAGAGATAAAACAGATAACAGAAAGATACTTTTTTGCAGCAATTCATGCAGAGAATGAAAAGTTGTTGTACATTTTACATACTGATTTACCTATACACTTTCACATAATAACACTCCCATTCACTTGTCAGATTTTTTTTTCTGATTCATGGCCTAATCCTGAGATGTCTTTTATCTTCCTCAAAATTATGATATGCAATTTTTCCACAATAAAGTGTCTGACAACAACTAGACTTATGTTATATTTTTTTTTAGTTGTGTTCTAAAATTATCCGAAATGTTTCCAACAATTCTTAAGCCTAAATAAATATGTGATTTCAATCATGGTAAATTTTTGTACATTGAGGCCGTTCTGGGTCAAATTTGACCCGTATCTCTTGAAACGGATTTTAGGATCCACCAGTCTGGGTCATATCAGGGAAAATGGCGGTTTCAGGGAATCTTGAAACTGTGAAACTGTACATGCCATGTCTGTGTGTATTTTTTATGGGACAGTGGAGACAGAGTTCAGGGGGGACCTCGACACTGTCACGAGAACTGTTTGTGTCCCCACCACATTGGCCCAGTTTCCCCCAGAGACAGGCACCTGCTGGTCTTTGAAGGGTCATGGGGGAATCTCGAAACAGTGAAAGAGTAAAAGAGCATAGGGACGATTATATATGGTGCACATAAGGAACAGAAGTCAGAGGCAAGACATACTGTGCAGTAGATGTTTTTCTCCAAGAACGAGAAAAATACACTCTCTCAGCTCTCTGAAACATTGATCAAGGATTAATCATCCATTTATTAATGTCAGATAGGCTATTTATACATTCTAAATAGATCTGTAGATCAAAATTCAGTAAAGAGACTTATTATGAGGGAATTCTTGGCCCGGGTGAAAATTTACTCGGACCATACTGTGAAGGCATGAACTATGAACAGTATGTAAGGGTTAAGCCACATTTTTAAGATACATTTTTTGCACCTTGGCCGCTTTCAACTATGTATTTTAATGAGAGGAGGGATTTTAGTCATCGGACATCTGGATTTTAATTTATCAGAGAAAAAAGCCAAGCGAATGTTAGGCAGTTCAGCTTCCAGGCCCTCCGAGATGTCCTGTGTTCACTGAACAGTTTCAGTGAGTCACTGATTCATAAATTGAAACTGCTTCATTCAGTGTTTTTACCAGTTTTAATCCCCTGGTCTGCTTCTTTTGGAGAGAACACCTCTGCGGATAATTTGGCTGCCGGCAAAAACATTCCTGAAGGACTGACACTGAAGGAATCCAAACCAGGAGAGGCTTACAGCAATGAAGACAACAACTCCCATGATCCCGCGCTATTTCAGAACGTCACGTATTGTTTTCATTAAGAGACCGCTAGCAGCAGAACTTAGATACTGTGTGTTTAAAGCACAGTTCATCAAAATAACAGTCTGGTTTTGGTGCAACAATAACTCGTCACCACCACACTGCACAATGCCCTCTTTCTGTTTGCTTTAGATCACAGTGTAACGGCCTGGCTGGGGTTCGGCGCCACTATCTGGAATCAGCCGGACAGGACTGCAAGGCAACAAATGAGTCTACAGGTTTTCAACTGTAAGCTCTTATTGTTTTATTGTTTGTTTTTAATGTAACCTACAATGACCATCAGTCCCTGGAAAGCAGGGTTGAGACTAAGTAGATCATCCTCACAAATAAAGACACACAATTCAGCTCGGCAGAAACACAAAGTACAAGATACATTTTATAAAAAGGAAAATATTAAGTAACCAGTTCAGATCACAACTCTGAAAATGTGACAACAACAACAACAACATAGTGTGGTATTTAGTTCAACATAAAACAAAGGGCATGAAAAGGTGAGCATGTCTTCAGTAATTACACTTTCACAGTATGTCTCTGTACAGAGCAGTGAAGTGCAGCTCAGTCTTGTGGCACCTGTCACTCGGCTTTTCCTCCTCATCCTCCTCCTCTGTGTCGCTATGACTCCAGCTCTAAACCCACACTCTCTCTCTCTCTGTCTCTCTTTCCCCTCCGATCTCTGATTCACCCCCACATCCCCTCCACCCACACCCCCACACCCCCTTCGAGATACAGTACAATGGCATACATTCATCCATTCTGTTTATTGTGTTTGAAGCAGGGGAGTAGGGCTTTCCAAAGCCCCCAGATCAGTCAGTGTAGGAAGCTGGCATCGTGGGTCCCGCTGCAAAAACAATCCCCTTTCTCCCAGATGGTCTGCGCAAGCAAGCGTGTAGCTGCAGGGGCTCAAAGGAGGCAGAGGGAGAGAGAGAGAGAGAGAGAGAGAGAGAGAGAGAGAGAGAGAGATAGGGAAGAATGGAGGAAGGGGGGCAGAGAAAGAGAGAGACAGTGAGAAAAACTCCTACCAATCCAAGTAGCAATGTCCAGTGGGTTTTTATCTCTGAGTCCCATACCCCTGGCATTCACTCTGTCTGCCTGGCTGTCGGTCTAATGCTAATCTTCACTGCCTCTTTCCTTCCTTCCTTCCTTATGTCCTTCCTTCTTTTCTTCCCTTTTTCTTCCCTCTTTCTTTCTTTCTTTCTTTCCTTTCTTCGTTTCTTCTCTGTCAGTCCATGTGTCTGTCTGCCAGTTGTCAGTGCCATCTGTCTGGTTTACCCACGATAAGAACATGTTTGTTTTTTTTGTTTTTTTTTAAGCCAGACAAACCAGGATAGGCAGACGACAATTTCCAATAATCCACTGCTCTGGGATTCTCTCTCTTTCTATCTGTCTCCCTCTCTCTCCGTTTTTTGAACCCGTCTCCCCTGCTGAGTAAAGCACCTCTGAGACGGG